TGATTTAAAAATGTAATTAATTTACTGGTGTTCTAATATTAGTTTTGTAACATAACATCTCTCTGTGTATCGTTGTAGTTAATTATTACATATGGGCACTTATGGGCGTGGACAGTATAGACAGATTCGTATATTTAATCAGTTGGGATGATGGACCATGTGTTTACAACATATGCGACAATGCAGGATCTGCTCTTACAGTTGCAGTCATATGACTCATATGTTATAGTATAATTTAATATGTAGTATGGTGAAATATATATACATTTGTTGTCCATAATACGGCCTGTGAGCTCGAGAGTGAGTATTGTATATTGGTAAATAACGACGTAAAACACGTCATCTGAGCGTATGCAATAACGTAATATGTTATGGCTTTGAACGTAACCAACGCCGATGGCACGACTATTGGCGACAACGGGGGCCAAGACTTATATATCGCATGCATCTGGACGATATAGCTGAGTATAGGGCAGACATTATTAAAAAATATTTACATCAGAGACATTTTGATAAATTCCAAGTTAATTATTGGAGAAAATACAAAACTAGTGTGGGGGCACATGTCACCCTAAGCCCTCTTTGCGTCCACCCCTGGTAAATGCACTCTCTACTTTGGAACATTTTTGTTTTTTAAAGAAAATTCATTGTCGATATAATTTCGTGTATTAAAATCATTCAATGTTTTATTATATAGTCAAAACATCTGTAGAATATCGTTGTCGTACAACACATTCCGTTAAAATCCGATAATTTATATATGAGGAATTATATAAACTATAAAAAAATGTATTCAGTTGTTTATGTTATTAATTCTTCACTTATCCCCTAAATTATTTTAGCTATATATCGAAGTCTTTTGTGTACAGATTTTAATTGTGAGTGGTTAGATAGTCTTTCTTAAAAATGCCGTTGCTATGTAATTTTGAAATGATAGCAATACATTTTTCATTATCTTTGGAGCCTACATATGCGATGCGATAACGAAGGAATTAAATCACATATAGCAATGGAGAGTAGTGATGTAGCAGTTGTACGGGGTAATAATTTCACTCTGAGCTACGTTTAGAACAGTTTTATGTATATCCCAGTTTAGTTCTTGAGATTCAAACCACTAATTGGTCTGGAATTAGACCAATCTGCAAATGGGAGAAATAGTGGAACGAGAGTGGTGTGTCACGATGCGTATGTGACCAATTCTTGTCGAACGCAATGTGCTGCCCGCTGTGTAGTATTGAACTAGCGACTACACGTACATAATGATGCAACAAATATTTTATAAAGGAAAGCTACGAGCTTATTTTTAGATATTTAAATATCTTGTAGGATGAAACAAAAAAAGTTTGTCGGATTGGTGTCGTTTTGTGCAAGGATTTTCAAAAGTAAATTAGGTTAATGTCTGCTTTCACCGCAAAACACGAAATATGCGAGATCATCTCTTTTGCTAGGAAGAAAAGTCCCCTAAATCATAGTGATTACTGACCTGACCACTTTGTTGTCATCGTTTCATTTTCCTGACGTCTGTCTACCAATATTCAATTTCAATCTGACTAAACAGATCATAATGGTGTAATATTCAAGTCTGTCTACACGAAAATATTAAATTACATCATAATGATGTGTATATATAATATATATATATATATTATATATGATTTTTTTTGTCAAATGTATGAAGTATATAATTCTTCGGTCCCTCAACATTCGGTAAAAATCGTTTGACCTCTCAATGTTTTTGAGTCTACTAGCGTCTACAAGTCGTCCGGATCAGACTTGCATCAATTGTGCTTACTGCTTTGTAATCAGCGATTCCAAGTGAGCCAGTTGGCGACTATTGGTATAGTATCGGGCTATGATGTTTTTTGTTTAGTGTGTGTTTATTCTTATTTTCATTAAATTTTGGGTTTTCATTTCTGCTCCCGGGGGAACAAAACAACACATCCACCTCCAAAAAACAGGCGACACACACTCAGATGATAACAATTATAGCCAACATATAACTCATCCAAAATCTACAGCATATATCACATGGTTTGCTCCAGTCCTCTAGCATCATGTACTATGTCGTAATTCATAAATATGGACCATTCTCTCCATTTTTCTTTTCATACCGTCCAAACGGCAACCATCAAATAAATTGAAATATAAAGTTATTTTAATTCAGTCATATAATTAATCAATATATAAATGCATTTACCTTATGTTTTAATGCTTCTAATTTGCGATGAGAGATATACGCACATGATCACGTAATTTTAAACCTAGAAGCAAGGATAAATATATATGGTTTGAGGCATGAACTCTAAACATTAAAAGATTGTTTTTATTAGGAACTTTAAACAAGAAGCATGATTCTACATAAAAGGTTCACGATCTTGAGGTATAGGCTTTAATTATTCTTTGTAACTTGAGGTTGAGGTCTTTCACGAATTACACGCAATACTCATAAAGTTCCTTGTATTAGTGTATCACTTATAGGTAACCCCTAAGGGCAAATGCATTCCTAATATTGGAGAAAGATTCTCCAAATTTGAGAAATTATTGGATGAGTTTTGAATTTTGAGAACCCCATTTTTTTTTTTTTTGTAACAGAGAACCCCGTTAATATTTAATATTTATGCTGACAAAAGCTATTATTCATGTTAAACACATTAATTCGTCGTTAAACAGATATTATTTTCAATCAAATTACAAGTACAAGTCTACAAAACGTGTGTATGAATGGTTTCCGTCAAATAATGTACCTGCTAGTTAAACTATCAAATATGATATGAAACAAATGATAGACTGAAATTTTCCAAAAATGATTATGTAACTCTAGAAACGTGTATTTCCAGTTCTCTGGACAGTTACATGCATGACGACGACGTACCAATACGCATCTAAATAGTTTTTCGCTACTTTGTCTTTTTACATGTTACATCTTATAATTGTCCTTTTCTTTTTTCTGGAATATAATGTTGTGATATATTCAATTTACTGACTTGTATTAAACTCCTAGGTTAATTTATAATTTTTAGCTCCTAGGAATATGTGTGTCTTTATTTTTTACTAAATTTTTGTAATATATGTGTCTTTTACTAGCTAACTTTAGCGATTGTAAGAAAGATAGGAGGTTCTTCGTTTTTGTCAGTAAGAGCAGCTTTAACCCAGTGGCTTAAGGGGAGGTGGCTTAAGAAAAAATTATATAATAATTAGTGGGGTCCAGCAGAAAAACAAACAATGCTGCCAATAGCTCTTGAATAAGCCACGGATTTGGTCTGTTGCTTAGAAAATCGCGGGTCCCACTGACACGTGGCGGCCCGCGATTGGTCAATTTTTTTTAATTTTTTTTTTCTTTTTTTGTAATCAGAAAAAAAAATTTAAGCAACCTTTTTGGGTTTTTGGGTTAATGGTGCTCTAAGGGAAATGTCTTCAAAATGCTAATTTTTTTTTTAAAATGTTACATAGTATTTCAGATTTTCTTATGATTTCAAAATAAACATAATCAATTTTTTAATTATTATTTTTATAAAAAAATATTAATTCATTCTTTTAAAGGGAAAATCAGAGCTACAGTCCGACGTTGTCTTGAAGAAACAACCGTGATAGGTTACATTAGAATAGGCAAAAACATCAAGAAAAACAATCAAATAGCACACATTAATTTATAGAAAACGGAAAATTCTAGTCATCCAACAGCAGGGAAATTATATATTGTTGCTTAGTTCAACCTTTGATTATTAGACATATTATATTCAAATTTCAAAATTTCCGTGGTGCCCCCAAAGGTAACGTTCCAACAGATTTGATTATATTTATTTCTATAAAACTTCATTTATTCATCGCATATATCATCATTAGACTAAGGAGGTTTATTTAGAGAAGGGGATTTTTAATTTCAGGTTAATGATTTTAATTGGTAAGCCATATTTGACCAGAAAAAATTTCACTGGTCAACTATAACGTTTCTGATATTGATTTACATTGAATAATACTGAATTTTAAACCTGCCGCGTTTTTATAAAGAATCTACTAACTAGCCAAGCATTTTACAAGAGTCAAAACTCTCCAGAATGCGGAATGTACTATACATATATATCCCCAATATATATTTCTATCTGTGTATATATAAAACATATTTTACATATCTATTTAATATGTCCATGTTTGTTTAAAATAATTAATTCAAGATCAGTATTATGTGCTGTAAATTATAATTGTTATAATAGTTCTTTTCCCTTTTTTATTTCTTGTGCACATCTAAATTAAAGCCTATGGTTGTGGATAACAACAACAAAAAAAAACTTAAACGTCAATTATTTATAGCGATAGTGTGTTATATCGCTGTTTTTTTTTCTTCCTTCAATGGCTAACCCTTTTCTAGAACAAATAATGGGTGAACTGGCCATCGTTTGACTAAATAATTTATACAATGATCATAAATAGAATGACTGAAAATAGTGGTGAAAAAATAGAAAATATCATATATTTCAGGCTTTCCCGATGACCCAACTGACCAAATCAGAGTCACCAATAAATTTAAATCAGAGAAATTTAAATAAATTACAAGGAAAAAAATCACTGCCGCTGATATAATTCCACTTGGACTTAAAATCTTTTTCTTTTTTTCACATTATCGTAAAAGCCAAGAAAGAATCACTAAAAAAAAAAACTAAATAAAAGACAAAACGGGTCTGGCAAAATCTCTGACCTTGGAAAATAAAAGATAGTTCAGTCACATAATCAGCATGTGTACGTCGTTTCTTTAGTGCTAATATAATATAACAGTGTCAGATAAACATTTAACCCATAAAAGTCTCAATCACCGTTCACATCATATTTATATATATTGTCATAAGGTAGTATTATGCACTATGCAGACGTTACATGCATTGTATTGAAAACCAAAGTTTATTTCCCGAGAAACAAACGGATCAGAGCCTTTTATTACTTAGTCCTCTGTTATTCATCTTTCTTTGTTAAAAAAAACAGAGCTTCTCTTCTCTGTTTTAGCAGAGATGGCAATACAAGCGCAGTTGAGTTACAACGCCGCTCCGTTAATCGGAACCGGTGGCTCCGAGTTTTCGCTGATCAACAACGACGGCGGAGTCATCAACCAACAACAAGCTCTGTTTCATCATCAACAGAACCGTTCTCAGAGCTTTTTAGACGTTCACATGGAGAAACAGAGGCGAGAGATCGATCAGTTCATTAGATTACAGGTTTCGTAATCACATACCTCATCGAAAGATTTGATTTTTACAACATGGGTACTCATAAAGTTTTAATCTTTGAAAAAAAAACAGAGCGAGAGGTTGAGATGTGCGTTGCAAGAACAGAGGAGGCAAGAAACAGAGACGATCTTGAGGAAAATGGAGACGAAAGCTTTGGTTTTGATGGCGCAGAAGGAAGAAGAGATGTCGAGAGCGTTGAGCAAGAACATGGAGCTCGAGAGTCTGTTGAGAAAGATGGAAACGGAGAATCTGACGTGGCAGAGGATAGCTCGTGAGAACGAAGCGATGGTTGTAACGCTTGAGAAAGAGGTTCGAGAGAGAGCCGCCACGTGTCGTAATGATGAAGCGGAGGATGAAGGGTCGTTCTGCGGAGGAGGAGATGGGTTTGTGGAGAGGAGGATGAGTGGTTGTTGCTGGAACTGTGGGTCTAATGGAGAGACGAGAGTGTTATTTCTGCCGTGTAGGCATCTCTGTTGCTGCACTGGTTGCGAGGGAGGTTTAGCTCTTTGTCCGATGTGTAATACACCCAAGAAGAATAGAGTCGAGGCCTTTGTTTTCTAGGGGAGAAGCCTTTTTTGTTTCCGGTGAACGGAGAGGTTTTTAGTCCGGGAAGATGACGTGGCAGGGGGATTTGGTGTTTTGGAGAAGTTTAGGGGTTGAAAATGAAAGTTTAGACTAGGGAAAGATATATCCAGAAGTAAATTTCTGTTTTGTTTATTTTTTTGTTTCTTTTGTAATCAAAGGAAAGGAGAAATCCAGCTGGATATAAAAGAACATATTCATATTTTCCTCGGGAATTCGGCCAAAAAAAACACGAACTTTGTACGAATTGCCAAAAGAAACCTATACTCGACCCTGACCAAAAAAATACTATACTTTTGTTGACTTTTTAATTTTATTAAGAAATTTTTGATTGACTGGCCAATTTGACACACCGTTAATTCGCAGTTTAGACAGCGTTAAGTTTCCGTTAAATCTTGCCATTAAGTGAAACGACGTCGTTTTCAAATATATGAAACGACGTCGTTTTACCATGATTCGAAAATAAAAAAAAAACGTAGTCTCTTAGATTTGAACCCGGGTTGGTCAAGTCAAATGCCGTTGTACTCTACCACTGGGCTAGTGTTACTCTCTTTGTACTCACTAACATAATTTGTTTTATTGAGTACTAGTTTTACAGGATTCGAAAATAAAAAAACGTTCACCCCTAGTCTTGAACCCGAGTTTGTTAAGCAAATGACATGGTATCCCACCACTAGGCTAGTGCTAGTTTCATTGTATTGACTAACATAATTTGTTTTATTGAGTACTAATTGAATATAAAAAATCTCTAAAAAACTTAAAAATAACTTTAAAATTACAAAAAATTGAAAAATAAAGATTATTTTAGAAAATTAATTTTGAAATTAAAATTAAAATTAAAAACAAAAATTTCATTTTTTTTCTTTTAAAAAAAATCAAAAAATTTCCAAAATTTTCAAGAAAGTTTAATTTTAACTTAAATTATAAATAATATTTATTTTTTTTTACTAAAAATGAAAAAATCGAAAATTTTAAAACAAATCCAAAAAATTAAAAACTCAAAGAAAATGCAAGCAAATTAAAGGTACAACTATCAACTTAAAATTAAAATCACACTCATAATGGGTACAATAATTATTTTAAGCATTTTCATTTTAAATGAAAATTTTGGAAGATTTTTGATTTTTAAAAGAAAAATGAAATTTTATTTTAAATTTTAATTTCAAAATTAATTTTATAAAAAATTTCTTTATTTTTAATATTTTGTAATTTAAAGGTATTTTTAAAGTTTTTAGAGAATTTTTTTATTGAGTAAGTACTCAATAATACTAAAAACGTTAGTGAATACATTGTAAGTAACTCTATCCCAGTGGTAAATTACCATGTCCTTTAACAAAAATAACCATGGTTCGAATATCAGTGTCTACATCTTTTATTTTTAATTTATTCGGATGAGAGAATGTTAAAAACAACTATGTTCGCCAATACAATAAAACGTCCATTAGCCCAGTGGCAAAGTGCCTACCATTATCCCCAAGTGCTCAAGTTCGAATCCCTTGGAGCACATTTTCTCACCTTATTTTTTTTTAAAAAAAATACATAAAACGACGTCATTTCATCAAACGCTCAAATTTAACGTCGTCAAAAAAATCTGTTAACTCTGTTAACGGTGTGTCAAATTGGCCAGTCAATCAAAAGTTTCTTAATAAAATTAAAAAGTCAACAAAAGTATAGTGTTTTTTTTGGCCAGCCCATATGTACAGATTTCTTTTGGCAATTCGTGCAAAGTTCGTGTTTTTTTTGGCCGAATTCCCTATTTTCCTCTAGCTAATGGTTTTTGGATGTATTTTTAATGCAATTTTCATTTAAAAATGACTTTGGAGAAAGTTAAAACAATTTTGTAGTATATTTCAAAATTACATAATTAAAAAGTATTTCAAAAAGTTATGAATTAAGCGTAATCCTTTGTCCAAAAAAAAAGCGTAATTCTACTGATTTAAACATTTTTCAGTAATACTTTTGAAGTTTACATTTAAAACTAAAATATTATTTGGTATGAAACCAACATATTTTCCAATAAAATGGAGTATTATTTAATTTTACAATTTACTAGATGTTTTGCCCGCACATGCGGGCTTAGCAATTTATAATTACTTATTATTAGTAAATGCATTACTAATTAAAATGCTATAAAGATATATTTTTATTTAGTTTTCATTGTTTTAATATATTAATTTATGTATTTTCTGTTTATGAATTTTTGAATTTTAATTATTTTTATAAAAGATACTTTTGGATAAAAACAAAAATATAAGAATTATCTTTTTAAAATAAAAACGATTTTAATATATTAATTTATGTATTTTTTTGTTTATGAATTTTTGTATTTTAATTTTTTTTATAAAAGATATTTTTGGATAAACAACACAATATATATAAGAATTATTTTATAAAATAAAATCAATATTTTAGATTTTGATTAATTCTTATTGTTATTAATTTTAACAAATAATTTAGTAAATGAATATTAAATTCGTTTTTTTATTTTTAGCTAATTTATATAGTTTATTCATTAAGGGTATAATCGATATTAACCACTCTAACTTTTAATGTGAGAGCTCCGTTGCGAAAATTCACTTCGCAAATAATAGTATAGACATGTTGCGAGATGGCGGAGAAAGGTGGGAGTAAAGCAAGTAGACACGCGTATTGGAGAAGCTGAAGGTATTATTGGATTGTTCAATAGTCAATACTATAGTACACTGACAAGAGAGCACAACAAATTATTTTAGAAATGTAAAATAGGAGAGAATCATAGGTTTGGCCTGCCATGATAGGATTTGAGTTCTCGCGCTTATCTAAACAGAAACATGAGCCTTCTTCCATCATGGATTCTCGATCTTTATTTGGACAGATCTGTGCTACCTATCTTGTTTTCAAGATCCTTCCTAATACCTATGAACATAAACAATCTAGTTACATACAATAGGTTGTACTATAGTAATAGTTAACCTTCAATTTGTCATAGGTTGTACTATAATAGTTACCTTCAATTTGTCAGAAAGGACGCAGTAAGATCCTGTTAAAAGCTATAAACCTAATCAAGATCTATCTAATTTTTGGTAGAGGATAGGTTGTACTTTCCTCAAAGCTCACAGAAACTAGAGTGTGGAATTATGTGAACTATACATTGACTCATGGGCCGGCCCATTATTTTCCTGAATTGTTGTTGGACCATTTCTCATGTTCTGCTTCCATAGCACAATAATTTCATAGGCTCATAGCATCTATCTTCTGCAGTCGATAGAAAATACGAAATAAAAAGAGAAATAATGTATGTGTTTCCATGCAAGAGTGAATACTCTTTGATGCAAATTGCAATGAACCTTTTTTATACAAATGCTGACAACTTACTAGCTTAACCAGAAGCTAACAAACTCTATGTAACTTTAGTCATAAACTAGGCATGACAATTACATGTAACTCACTTATTTAAAGTGCTTGTATTCGCACACACATTCACATCACAGCCCTACAATATTCTCTTAAACATATAAGATTCAAGATCTCATATCAGGATAATTTCAAATTCAACTAGCTGTTTCATATCTGGCCACGTTGAAGCCTTTGTAACAACAAAAAGAGAAACTTTCATTTTCTTAAGTTGAATAGATTTGTCACAAATTAAAACAAAAAAATGTTAAATCCAAATTTATCTTACAATGTCATTATTCAAGACTCCACAACTTTGATACAACATTTATCTAATGTGGCCAAAATCTACAGCACATATTGACAGCAACTCTAGATTCTCTATACCCACACAAAGCAAATAAAAGATTCTCTGGCCTTTACTGTCTTTTTCGTTTCATACTTGCTCTGCCCTTTCGTCCTGAACTTTTGTAACAATACCATGTCCTTATCGATGAGTCATGTGGTTCTTACTTTTTAGTGTGTTTATATATCTACAATTCCAAGGTGTCACATTTTCATGTCAGATTTTCATAAGTAGATTTCAAGGAAACAGAGGCTCTCATAAAATGACTCCGACTATTATTATAAAATCTTTGATGTATTATTTGTGAAGAACATGAGACAAAACCAAGGTCACACACAACACAACAAAAGTTTTTGTTTTGGTCTCACACATATAAATATTACAACACAACACATAAGATCCACATGATGAAAGATTATATCATGGCACATCTTATCTCATCCCATCTTTCTTCCTTTGCCTATTAGAACCACACAACGACCAATCAAGAATCTTGTTCACTCGTTTTAGATGCTTGGTCTCACGTTCAGACGGCTCGCCAGCTTCTGTCCCAGTGACTTATCAGCCTGTACTCACACATTTTTAACCAATCAGTGTAAGAAAATATTACACAAATTCACAAAGGCCAAATAAAATATTACACAACTTGTCAGATTTTTATACCTGAGACCAGTAAGAGATCCAAATGCTGCGGATTTCATGTGTGATGCGAGGGTCTGATAGAGCATCAATCCATCTACCGATGAAACGTTCTTGCCTGAAGTTAAAATCAACAATTTAAACAATAAGCACATGTAAATGTATTGAGAGTAACAAAAAAAAAAGTAATATATAACAATGAGTAACCTCTCTGGTGTAAAGGAACGATATCTCTCTCCAGGCTCCTTGAAGTTGTTCTCCTTCTCAATAATACACTAACAAAAACATATTTTGAACTTTTAGATCATATGTTTCTTACATAAAACTGAAACATAAGAGTAGTAGCTTTGGTTTAATTACTAACCCTCTCACGTTTCCCAGAGCAGACTGCTGGTGGAGTTGGATACTTCTCAGCATGGCGAACCGGGTCATACCTAGATGGGAAGTAGTTAACCTGTACCAAACCACCTCTTGTAAAAAAATGATATTCATTACAAAAAAAACGAAAATAAAACGTTAATTACAAATGAAATTACCTCCTCGTCCCTGTGCATGAAATTCATGAAACCCTCATGGTGGTTATTGTGGTGAGCACATTTTGGTGCATTAACTGGTAACTGCAAATAGTTTGGTCCAAGACGATGTCTCTGAGTGTCAGCATAAGAGAAGACACGTGTCTGAAGCAGCTTATCATCAGAGTAGTGTATCCCCGGAACAATGATAGCAGGGCAGAAAGCAAGCTGCTCATTCTCCGCAAAGAAGTTATCAATGTTCTTGTTCAACACCATACGTCCAACGGGTTGAAGAGGCAAGATATCCTCAGGCCATGTCTTGGTGACATCAAGAGGGTCAAAGTCAAACTTGTCTTCATCAGCTGGATCAATTATCTGAACAAAGAGCTTCCACTCAGGGTAATTACCAGCAGCGATAGAGTCATACAAGTCCTGAGTCGCGTGACTATGGTTGGTTCCACCAACGCGGATAGCATCTTCTTCTAGTAGAGACTTGACTCCACAAGTTGGTTTCCAGTGGAACTTCACGTAGTGAGCTTTGCCGGATTTGTTGATGAGCATGTAGGTGTTGACACCTGAACCTTCCATGTGTCTGTAGTCTTGTGGGATACCAATGTCATCGAAGAGGAATGTGAACATGTTGAGGCTTTCAGGGTGGTGGGAGAAGAAGTCTAGGACTCTCCAGTTCTCTTGGATGTGAGATTTTGGGTTTGGTTTGAGGGCGTGGACCATGTCGGGGAACTTCATCCCGTCGCGGATGAAGAAGACAGGGAAGTTGTTTCCGACAAGATCAAAGTTTCCCTGCTCATAAAGAATGATCACTTGCTTTTAGTAACATATTTAGTCTCAGCAACTAGTTAAGCTGCTTGTAGAGTACTAGAATTATACATGATATAGGTGGGACCTAAACATAACAAAAATAATGTGCTTTTTTTATATTTTGCATAGTTTAGGTACTTTAGTTTTTAAATTTAATTATAAAATTATTTTGATCCAATAAAAAGTTACATAGATACATGAGAATAAACTAGAAAATTTTTTTAGATTTGTACGAATATTATTGCTTAGTTTAACAAATTTGGACCAATTTAAATCGATTTAGACTTAATTTAGAACGGTATAATCCGATTTATACAAATCGATTTGAATTGTATAAATCAGATTTTAGGAAAAAAATTTCAATCCCATTTGTACAAATTGATTTGAATTGTATAAATCGGATTTTAGGAAAATTGTTTCAATCCAATTTGTACAAATCGATTTGAATTGTATAAATCGGATTTTAAGAAAATTGTTTCGGCCTAGACCGGTTTTTAGAACATTGAGTCTTATTCTGTTAAGAAGAAGTGATGAGTTACCTCTCTGGTGTAGAACTTGACTGCAAAGCCACGAGGGTCTCTCAAAGTCTCAGGACTTCCACGTTCATGGATGACAGTGGAGAAACGAACAATGACAGGAGTCTGAACACCAGGAGCTCTAAGGAAGTCAGCACAAGTGAGGTTAGATATATCATGAGTGACCTCAAAGAAACCCTTTGCACTAGCTCCTCTAGCATGAACCACACGCTCGGGAATACGCTCCCTGTCGAAGTTAGCAAGCTTCTCAACGAGATGGTAATCCTCAAGAAGGATAGGACCTATACCAAAACCATCACAAGTGTTAACATTAAGATATACGTGTATATATACTCATGAATGAAACGGTATCGTTTCGAGAAGAATATACCTCTTGGTCCAACGGTCATGGAGGAGTTGTTGTTCCATACAGGAGCACCAGAGTTGGTGGTGAAGAAAGGAGAGTTGTAAGAACTTGCTGGACGATACTGTAATTATAACAAGATCAAAATAATCATCAAAAGGATCAAGATTCATAGATTTGACTAGAAGAAAGTCAAGATCCGATGTAGACACCAATCAAACAGTTCCAAAGGTTACAAATAAGGGTGCAATAAGCTAAAACAACAGTTTGAAATTAGTTTCTATAGAAGATTAAGAGGTGAGAGACAAAGGAGAGAGAGAGTACCTTGTAGGGATCCATAGTTGTTGAGATGAGATTGAGAGTTGAGAAAGAGAGAGAGACTTTCAGAGATTTAACAAAACGAGGAGATGGTGATGATGATAATTATAATATTCGCTTCGTCTATTTATAAATGGCTTCTGTCTTTATGCCTTTGCGCTTTAAAGCTTTTTTATAATTTGGGGGAATTTTAAAGGTTATCGTTTTTTCTAATATTAGTTTTTATTTTCTTCAGATAAATATTACGAAATTCATTTATTGTGGCGATAACAAATGAAATTTCGAAAGGATAGTTCTATGGTTTTGTACGCATATATCATACTATAAAAGAAATATGTAAGAATTATTAAACGAAAGTATAAATATTATTGGTTTCAAAAAATAAAACACAATTAATATGTTATTATTATAATCTTTCAACAGTAAAAAAATGGATTAATAAAATAATTATAAAATATTTAAGCCCGTAAATGCGGACAAAACACCTAGTATCATATTATAAAAGAAAATGATTGAGGCAATTGATATTCAAGAAATGAGTTATTTTATTCCCTAATTTATTAGATCCGATACAGATGGTTACACTTCGCATTTCAAGTTTTAACATAATCTCTATCTTTGCTTAAGGTGGAAGAATGGTTAAACAAAGTCAACTCTTCAAGAGAAGAAAACTTATATAATAATTTAAAAGAATTCCTAATTTAAACCATTCTATGTTATATGAATCGAAGATGAAAACATTGCATTTTTATTATTTTGTTGCTTCTTGAAAATCTATCATTTACGAATGTCATTTAAATCAGATTTACATGTAGTTTTTTTTTAACATTATCATCTCTGGCCGTGGTATAACACGACCTGCACCTTCAAAACTCGGAAGCCTTAAGCTCAATGATAAATTATACGTCATCCGAATTTAGGTTCCCAAGAAAGTTGAAGATAAGCCGAACCCACGATGGTGATATTGTCAAATATTTTTTTGTATATCACAAAATCAAGGACGAAGGAAGACAAATGAAATAAATAAATATTGTATTTTGCAATATGGAGAAAACAAAGGAAAGGAATATATGGGGACGTCATGGAGTCGTGGTTCCTTATCCGGTTCTTTTGGCCTTTCACCAAAACCTTATAAGTGGTTTAGTATGGTTTTGGATGACGTGGATGATTTTGTTGGTTTCCACGTGTGCTTGGTTAATGTGAACGCCATAGGCCGGAGAATATGCCCTCGTGAATTGATTGTATTGTTCCATGTTTTGGCCCTTGGGAGATGTGGCGAGATGAAGTTATCAACTTCCAACTGGGCCCACCTCTGAACCTTCTTGTTGGGCCAGAAGTTTATATGATTCTGGACGGCATAGACTTCAATTCAATTAATTATAAATGTAAGTTTGTAACGTAACACACTTGTTATTCATGCACGAAGGACTTGAAAATGTTGCAAGACGATGTGCTGCAGTGTTTACTATGGACTCAGCAAGGCGACAGTTTGACCAATCATGTTTGCCTCTTTTTTTTTTTGACATCAACCAATCTGTTTGCTATGGACTGAGTATATATCAAGTATGTTCGATCTTCTATTTTTCCATCTTGGTTTTTGATTTCGTAAGTCGATAAAATTTATCAATTGGGCTGATATAAGAAAGAGATAACTGAACCCATTATGAGTAACTATAGCCCATACTGCTAAAACATGAAATATCCCTTATGGGCTGGAATATCTTCTGGCCCAACAACAAAATTCCGATTTTACTAATGATATTACTTTTACATTTTCGTGGTATACTATTCTTCTAGTTTAGATCATCAGATTCTATAATCTTGGTTTCTCCAATATCTGTTGATCAAAAAAAAAAAAAGAAAAAAAGAAGGTTTCTCCAATATCTAACCAATCTCGAAGTAAGAAGGTTCTTGGTAAGAGTTTTCCACCGGCCCACCTTTTGTTTAATAATTGAATTAAGCCCAAAATAAAATAGACCGCATGTGTTGTCTGCAAGCAGCTGATTTGTTCTTTGAGAGTGTCAATACACTGCTGAGTTTTGTGCTGTTTGTCTGTTATAAAATGGCTAGACAACCGTCGGCTAGATTTGATGCAGTCCTCGTTATAAAGCTGGTTTAACAAGCTATAGTATTCATGATCTGGAAACAGCCTAAATGCCTAATTGTTGACTCTATTCGTCTCCTTTACAAGATTCATCTTGTCTCACTTGGTTCACGTTCTTGTAAAAGAAAAGATACAGCGCTTTTTTCTTTAGTTCCTCTGGTCCATTGTTATAAGTTTTGTCTCCACTTCCAAAAGTTTTAAGCTAGAATCTTGTAGAGGTTTAAATGCTCAAATTAGAATCTTGTAAAGGTTTTAATTGGCAAGATATTCGAGAATCTTTTATATTTTTTTATTCGAGAATCTTGTAAAAGCAACAATTTATTACAAAAATAAATTTAATATTTACTACCTTATATATTAATAGTATTCAATATGTTACGAAAAGATCCACATTTTAGAATATTTTTTTATATATATTTTCAATGCATTATGGTAAATTGTAAATTTCAAAAAAAAAGATTGTTAGTTGAAAGTCTATTTGTTAAAGTTACTAAAAATAATTAATTTCAGAAAACAATATATTAACAATCAAAAATTTATATTTTCAATGTGTGAAAATTCTAAAACTTACAACAATAGAGAAAGCATATACTACTAAACATGTTTATGTATATACAATGTTTGTTAGAGCATTTATGTGTCAACAAACTGAACCATAAAATCATCAAAAAGTCTTCCCAATAATAATTAGTAGGGTGAGATTTGTTCAAAATTGTTAGGTTAAAACGTGAAAGTGGTGACCATTATATAATAATGAATTTAAAATCAAATTCAGAAAACTAGGACCATCGTTTTAAAGAGTTTCGAAATATACATTGTTGTGGAGCAATGTAGCCGTTACAAGACACGCTACACATGGCATAATTTTTGTGGACAGAGCAAGAGATCTGACCTGTCTTTTGCCTAACTGATGTGGAACCATGACGTGGATGTTTAAGAGATAAAGATTGGGCAAGCAAGGCTGCCCTCGTGGTAGGTCATTTCCTTAGACTTAAAACAATTAAATTTATCTTTAAATTAGTTGAAGTTCGTCTGAATGTAAAATTATAATAATATAAACCCCTTCTTTTCTGGTGAAAAAACCATAATCGAAAAGACAGGCAGCGAAATAATGTAATTATATGATATGATTAGTGACTCATTATCACATGCAATAATATCTTCTGAACCAAAAATTAATATTCAACCTCTTCCGCACCATGGAGATTTGAATTATGGAATATCTTAGATGGCAAAACCACCCAATTGATTATTATTCTGTATCTAAATTAGTAAAATACACATGTAAAAATATAATAGAATAATATAAACTAAATTGCAATTGCATTTGAAGAATCCATATTTCAATTTTCGTAAATGGACTTGATCACTACCTAACGAGGGTCGATTTTTCTTTTCAAGACCACGTGAATCATCACATTTCTAAGCTTCAGGATGAGTTGAATTGGGATGTGTATTGGTTACTTAAGCTTAGGGTTAACAAATACATTCTCTCACTTGGAATGTATTGAATTACTTATTTTTCCAGACATATTCCCAATGAGGAAATGCAAAACACTCATGGAAGAGGAGGAAGACAGTAATCAGTTTCTAAATCAAAATTGCACAACGACCTGGCATTTATTGGTCACAAAAACAGCATGATTTGGAAATCAAAAATTTCTGATGTACTAGTACTTGCATGATGGATATCAATTATTTTCTTTGTATCATAGAAAGTAAAAGTATTTCCGTTACATATTTACAGGTTAATATACTCACATATGCCTAGAAACAAGTATTAGTCATAGAAAGTGATTCAGTAGTAATAAATTTATGGATATTAAGAAAAGAAAGTTGATTAGGGCTGGGAGGAATGAAGGATAAAGACAAATGTTGTATTCTTCTTTTTGTCAACGACAAGTGTTGTATTCACGTAAAGGAAAGCATAAGTATCATATAGTCTGCTTTTAGAAACATAATTACAATTAAAGTTACTTTGTTTTTGGACATGAGGATCCAAATGATAATAATCACTGCTTACGGAGTTACGGGGTTCCTCTTTCTTTAGCATCTCGTATTATCCGTTGGTCTCCTATTTTAACTCAAGGAAACTTGCTAGTTCTGGCGCCAATGATAGTTTCTCTTATGCAATCTTTAATAACTTCGAGAAAAAAATTCCTTAAAAATATCCCAATTAAATTTAGTTAAGTTTTTTAATATCCTATTTTTTTCGTTACCCAACTAGTATTCCAACTAATTATTTTGTCTATGTTAATAATTTTTATAATTGTGTTCATTTTAATATCCAATATTTGTTTATTTTCATTAATAATACTAATAGGTTTCAAACAAAATTTTAAAAAATCTTTAAAATCTAAAAAACTATATTAAAATTTCTTTAAAATAAACAGTTTGGAAATTAAAATGGGCATAGTTATAAAAATTTGTGTATTAAAATGGACAAAATAATTAGTTGAAGTATTAAACTGGACAGTGAAAAAATTTGAGCATTAAAAATTTTAACAAAATTTAGTTGGGGTATTTTTCTCGCTTAATTTAAAATAATCCATGATAATTGTTTCCCAGCTCATACACTAATCATATTCATAAATAACAAGTTGCTAGTTTCAAATATAATATTGTTTTTAAAAACAAGTTGCAAGTATATGATTTTATTTACAGAAAGCCAGGTCGACTTTCATTTTGAGACTTTTTTTTTCATTATGCATACAAACATTTTCTTTGAGACTTTGATAGCTGATAAAAGAAACTCTTATAGTTAATTGTGGGGAAATAAGCTAGTTTTTTAGATAGCTAAATCCTAACCTGTTTGAAAATTGATTTGACCTTAAAAGGTAAATTTGGTAAACGAATCTATACAAACGGAAAGTTGCGAAGAAAAGATTGGACAAAACAAGACAAAGATATCGATATAACCGTTGAGTAAAAGGAGAGCCAAAGAAGGGTTGGGGATGACAGGCTGACTACAAAACCTTGCACCTCGTTTCTTTCACAAACCCTCACATGGCTTACCTGTACACTTGGGTCGCATCACCTATTTTTCTATGTCCACTTGTTTCATATTGTATAATACCCAAAAATGTCAAGCAAAACTACAAACACATGGCTTTATTCATTATTTACTATATTTTCTGTCAAAACATGGCTTCATTTTTATTTATTTTCTCACATTTTGTTTTGTTATCTTACTGTTCCACAGAAAGAAAAAAATATTAAAAATTCCAGAACAGCAGAAGATTTTGTCCATGCACGTAGAGCCCACCTTTGATTGTTTATCTCGTATTATCACTATCACATAATACTAAAATAATATTTTTGACTGTTGTGTGCTTGTAATAATGTACAAAACTACTGGTCATACCAAAAGAAAACCCATAATCTTATAGTTTTTCTTTTCCTTTGCGGTTTAATGAATAATGATCTTTTATACATGCCTTGATCTTCGTTATTAACTAGAAGGAGAAAGTTCGAAGGCAATATTTAGCTTAATTTTTTTTGTACGATCTTAGTTTAGAGTTAATCATCTGACATTTAGATTTTCGAAAAACTCAAGAAGCTTTCACATTAAAGAACATTAACACATCATTAACCCTACCAATAATGTTTATTTAGCAGAGCTGTTCAAATAATTACTAAATACCAAAAACACCCTTGGCTTCCCTGTGTCATTTCCTATTAAAGGAAACACTGTCGTCATTACACAACACCACACAACTCGAGCAAACTCCATAGCTATCTAGAGAGAGAAAGAAACAAAAGGTTAACAATGTCTAAAGAAGTGAGCGAAGAGGGACGAACCCACCACCATGGCAAAGACTACGTTGACCCTCCACCAGCTCCTCTTCTTGACATGGCAGAGCTTAAAAAGTGGTCTTTCTACAGAGCTCTCATCGCCGAGTTTGTAGCTACACTCCTCTTCCTTTACGTCACTGTAGCCACCGTCATTGGCCACAAGAAACAAACCGGTCCTTGTGACGGTGTTGGTTTACTCGGTATCGCTTGGGCTTTCGGTGGTATGATCTTTGTCCTCGTTTACTGCACCGCCGGTATCTCCGGTAAGTTCAAAAAACTTTTTATTTATTTATTTATTATTATTATTTTTTTTAAAATTTTTTTTTTAGTAACTCTTTTTTCTTTATAAAAGAGTAACTCTTCTTTTACGTGTGATTAGTTCACTAGTTCATAAGCCGCCTGTTATTTATTGGTATTATTATTATTATTTTTGAATAGCTCTTCTTTTACTTGATTAGTATTTTTTTTTTGCTTAAATTTGGTTTTACTTGATTAGTTCGTAAAGTTTTTTTTTAATTATTATTAGTGCTTAGTTCGTTAATTTTTGTTGCTAATCTCGTGTTTGGTTTATTTGTTCATAGGTGGTCACATTAACCCAGCTGTGACATTTGGTCTGTTCTTGGCACGTAAGGTTTCTTTGGTGAGAGCTGTTGGTTACATGATAGCTCAGTGTCTTGGAGCCATTTGCGGTGTTGGTTTCGTTAAAGCTTTCATGAAAACTCCTTACAACACTCTTGGAGGTGGAGCTAACATGGTAGCTGACGGTTATAGTAACGGAACTGCTCTAGGAGCTGAGATTATTGGAACTTTTGTCCTTGTTTACACCGTTTTCTCTGCAACTGACCCCAAGAGGAGCGCCCGTGACTCTCACATCCCCGTAAGTGCTCTGTTTCTGATAATATTCTTGGGCTTTGTGTTAAAGTTTGTCTTAATCTCGAGTGGGCCTGTGTAGATTCTGACAATGTTTGAATCTTGTGATAATCTAGTAAAGTTTGAATCTTATGGGTTAATGATAAAGTTTTGTTTAATGTCATGTGTCAGTTTAGTTTCTGTTAAAGTTACAATATTTTTGGGTTTTGAGTTAATGTTGTTTAGTTCTAGGCTTAAATTAATACGCTGTCTAGATTTTGATAAAATTTGTTTTTTTTCTTCTGATTAGGTCTTGGCTCCACTACCTATTGGATTCGCTGTGTTCATGGTACATTTGGCTACTATCCCCATTACTGGAACTGGAATTAACCCAGCCAGAAGCTTTGGTGCTGCTGTTATCTACAACAACGAGAAGGCTTGGGATGACCATGTAAGTCTTTAGTTGTCATACTTAATCTTGATTAAGACAATTAATGATTCCATTTCTCTAATGTTGACTAAATAATTGTTTGACAATCAATTATTTTTGTAGTGGATCTTCTGGGTCGGTCCATTCGTGGGAGCACTAGCAGCAGCAGCTTACCATCAATACATTTTGAGAGCTGCAGCAGTTAAGGCTTTGGCTTCATTCCGAAGCAATGCAACCAACTGATGATGAAGTTTGAAGATCCCCACTTAGTGATGAAGGCTTAAATGTGAAGAAACAACTTAAAATTTATGTGCTTTTATTTTTTTTTATTATTATGTATGATTATTTGTGTGTTTGTGAGAGAAATTTAAGCTGGTTTAATCATGAAATGGGTCTGTTATCTCTTTTTTTTTTTTTTTTTTTCTTTTCGTTTAGTGCCCACATTGTTAGTTTACTATTTGTAGTTTAGTTTCGCTGCGTCATTTCCCTTAGTTCTCCCTACATCCAGTTAATTTTGTGATATCAAACAATCCAAACTCAAAATCTATTGTTCTTCACACTTTTAATTATGTAAAAAAAGATGATTATAAGCAAAATTCGGCTGGAAACTCATCTTTGCTTTCAAATTATTATTTTTTGTCTGAATTCGATTGTAGCTTTTCTATACTTCTTATCAAATTCCTTTGATATAACATGTATATATATTGTGTAACCTTTCACTCGACCGAATCTTAAAATTCAAATTTGCAATATGGCTCATGCATGGAAAAAATACATGTTAATTAAGCATCTTAAATTCATCATCACACAAAAAAGAGTGAAATCATTTTGGACATCATTGGTATGTTATGGTTGACATTGCCGTCACTCCGGTGTCCATAAGAGCGTCGTAGCTCAGGCTTGGAACGTGTGTTTGATCTAATTGAGCAAATAAATAAAACTCAAAAACTTTATTAATATGATTTGAAGTAACCACAAATCTATATAAGCGTACACAAAAGATGAAGTAAAACAAAGACAACTTGGATTAAAAAAGAAGATTACAAAACAAAGTGAAATTAAATAAATTTCACTCAACTCCAAACTTAAAAGCCAGAGAGGGATTTTTGATCATAAATCAAAGCGAGACTGATAGACATGTCAAGGGTTTATATGACCCGTGAACAAGAGAGAAGCTCAACTGTTCAATCTCTCCCCAAATAGTAAGTCCAGATGATGTAAGACGCTTCTCCAACCTAACCACGGCAAAGCAAGTTTTCTCTTCAGGAATGACACGCTGCTTATTCCTCATCACTACAGGTTGAGGCAACACTAACCATACAATCACCACTTTCCCACCACCATAGTTAACTAATTGAACCATACGGTAACGACAATTAACCTTGGTATAACACAGATCTTCCAAACCCTCAACAATCAACCACTTTCCACAGCTCACGTCATACCAGAACAAATCATCGCAAAACTCCATAAACACTATATTATCTAGAACGCACCAAACAGTACCTAATTCCAGTATGCGTTTTAGACCAACAAAACCCGTGTCTAGCAGCAGCCATCTACCTTGTTTAGGATCATAAGCATAGTTGTTACGCTCGGTGATAACGTATATCCTTCCTCCAAGGGCTAACACTTCAAATTTACAATCAAATTTAAAATCACCACTAGGGCTAGGCAGTAACAGCTCTTTCTTCCATGTCTGAGACTTTACGTCGAAAACTTCACCCCAACATTCTTTCTCACTGCATCCTCCCATTACATATATCCTCCCATCTAAAACACAAGCTTTTGCGCGTTGCCTTGCCACCTTCATCTTAGGACCACGACGTTGCGTGTGACTCCGACAATCAAGCACACAGACGGATCTAGACCGCTTGTTATTTCTGTTGATTCCGCCGATTTGGTAGATGTCGGAACCAAAAACTAATTTCGCTTCTTCTGATCGATCACATAGATGAAACGAAGAGTTTTTTACAGGTACTAACCTCAATTCAGTCTTCATTTTAATTTCAGCTCCGTTTACGCTGATAAAGGCATTTCTGCCTTTCTTGATTATCTCATCATCGAGAGTCCTGAGATTGTACCAGCGATGACTACGTGTGGTGGCTGTACTTAAAATATCACAACATAAATAGAGGCGAGGCTCTTCGGCTCCGATTTGAGAACGAGCTGCGTATATCTCCGGAGAAGAGAGGAGAGAGTGGAAGCTCATGGAGACTAAGCTGAGGGAACCGTATTGAGATTTTGAGACGCGTGCTAAGCAACTCACAATGATTTCATCTGGAAGAGATGAAAACGATGGCGGAGGAGGAGGAGAAGTTGTAGAATTCTTCATCTAATTGGAGCTTCTAGGTTTTTTGAACGATCTCGCTTTTCACCACTCTTTTTGAATGGGTGGGTTTATATAGGTTTTTTTTTTTGTGTGGGCCATTTACATTAAAACCCTCAATGATTTTGGTTTTCAAGTCCACAGTGTTTTTTTTTCTTTCCTATATTGGATTTGATAAGCTTGACAACTATGGCATGAGGTTACAAAATGTGATTCTAGTGATATAGATTACTGTACATCTGGTAGGAATCATTGGTCCCAAACTCATATACTAGAATGATAGTTGTGAGATTTAACCCCTTCAGTGCCCTCTTACCTTTGTCCATATTTCTCTGCTCCTCTGTTTTTGTGCCTGTTTTTGTGCCTTCAGCTCTTCTTAAGAATTATGATGAGTATAGCTCTTTACTCTTCTCAGCTTTATAACTTCTCTAAAGTTTGCATGCGCAGACGGTTTTGTAGATCAAAAGGTTTAGCTTTGTAGCTAATTTTCTCGTGTTTAGTTATGTGTATGGTTGTTGTAGTAGTTAAGAGTTGAAAAATATATCAAGTGATAATTGAAACTTGAAAGATTTTATATGTATGCATATAGAAAGAAAGAGTGAATGGAGCTGTGGACAGAAGCTAGAGCCCTAAAGGCAAGTCTAGAAGGGGAAGCTCTGAAACATCAAGTGATTATGTCGTCTGAGGAATTAAGTCGAACTTCTTCTGCTGAAGATTTCTCCGTTTAGAAGGCGACTCAAAGCGTCTACCCATTGCAGATCATCAAGGCTCCCAAGTTTGACCTCGGGAAGCTCATGGAGGTGAGTTGGATATTAAATGTTGTCATCTGACATATGTCTTACTCTAGCCATTGAGAGACAATCGACTCAAACTTTGCTTTTGTGTTGATAGGTTCATGGTGACTACATAGCAGAGGATGTTGGTGTGAAAGTAGACAGGCCAGATGAAACAGTGGCTGAGGAACCAACCCAAATCATCGGAGCTTTGTATTCATATCATCTATCTCTTCTCTAAGACCTGGAAAGCAGAGAAGGAAGAATAAGCTACCTGTGAATTTACATTCTAAACAGACACGTACCATATATATGAAGACATACATAACTTAAATTGAGGGATAAAAGACATAACCACAAACAAACAGAGTCTCTTCTAATATAATCTCAATAAGAACTTAAATGATGACTTGATATTCAAGCAAAACCTAGACTTAACTTAGGCACCTGACTGCGAGATCGGTGTTGTCTTGAATTTTTTTTCAGTGAACACACCTTCCCACTAACGAAGAGATACTACTCCAATCTACATATCAAGTTTAGCTAACACACCATGTTGTTGTTAAATCTCAGCCATCTGCCATCTTTCTTCCACGTGAGCGATAGGCATGGCTCATACCTTGCAAGCCAAGGAATGAAATTACATCTCATATACTTTGTACTAGTAACCTACAGCTGTCGTATAAAAGTACAAATAAAATCATACAGTGTACACGCTTTATTCAACGTCATCTCGCCCTAGGGGCAAAATCGGTATAGGGGAGCAACTGTTGAACAGTGTATGGGGCGCAAAGGTAGCTACCCAGTTTACTGCAGTTTTATTAAATCCATAAACCTAAAAGCACCAAAACCTAGCCGAAACCAAAGTATCAATTCATAATTAACATGAGTCACTTTAGAGGTCCGCTGCTTCCCAAGCTCGCCGTCCCCAGTGCCTACGATCTCCGCCTCGATCTCGACGTCGCCGCTGGCTCTTTCAACGGGACCGTCGCCGTCACCGTTGAACTACTCGAGAACTCTCGATTTATCGTTCTGAACGGAGTAGGGCTAGCAGTGAACACGAAGGCTTCTTCATTCACGCCTCGTGAGTCCTCTGAGGTACAACAAATTATACGATGATCATCCTATTTACTTTCTCTGTTTTAGGAATGTTGTTAATAGTATGTTTTGATTAGATATTTTTGTTAGAGAATCTTGCTTTAGGCTTCTTTTTGGAAAAAAATATTGTGATAGATGCTTGATTTATTTTATTGTTGATCTATTTTATTTAGGTTGGAGTGATTTTAATCAAGTATTACGAGGAGAAGATTATTCTCGAGTTTGGTTCATATCTCCCCAAAGGAGAAGGAGTTCTCAAATTGGAGTTCGGTGGAGTAATAAACCAAGAGGGACTTTTCATATGGTAAATAACCTTTAAAATATAAATTGACAAAGGAAAAAATATTTTGAACTGATGATTATTCTTGTTGCATTAGCTGTGGCGAGAACGAGAAGATGTGTGCTCGTAGGTGTTTCCCATGTTGGGATGAACCCGTTTACAAGGTTTATAATGTTATTTCTCTTGATTACAGTGGATTTAAATTAGTAATATTACTGATTTGTTTTGTAATAGGCGAGGTTCAAGGTTACGATGCAAGTTCCGTTGGAGTTTGTGGCTCTTTCCAACATGCACATCATGGAAGAGAATGTTGATGGTGATCTGAAATTGGTATCTTTCCATGAGTCACCAAATATGCCAACATATTTGGTGACCATATTTGTTGGTGTGTTTGAGTCCATTGAGGATCACACCTCCGATGGTATACAAGTAAGTGTGTATGGTGAACTCGGCAAAGCAGACAAAGGAAAACCTGCCTTGCATGTTGCTTTGAAGACTCTGAATCTGTTCAAAGAGTAAGTTTTCTTAAGGCTTGTATCATACTAGTTGTATCATACTAATTCGCCTCCTCCAATGATATTACATTCATACAGGTACTTTGGTGTTTCATACCCTCTTCGCAAACTGAATCTAGTCGGAGTACCAGATCTTACGGCTGAGCCTAGAGAGAGTTTTGGCTTAGTTATATACCCTGAACCATCTATCCTCTACGAGTCTGACCAGTTTTCTACTCCGGGTGATGATCGTGTGGTTGGTGCTGCTCCTGACGCCTCTCATTTGAACCAGTTCGTACAGATTCTAGGCTTATATTTCGATCCAAAATACACAGAGAGGGTAACTTCTGGATTAATCAATTTAGGCTTTGTTGTTTACTTTTTTTTTATTGATATTTTATCTATTGATTCTAGATCATGAAACTCGAGCCAGATTTTCAAAGCATGACTCTGAAGCCAGAGTTCCTTTGTTTGCTTAAGTCCAGAGAAGCCATGCAGGTCTGTTCAGCCTCCTCAAGCTATTTCAGTATGATAAAAAGTTTCTTCAGCCTAATGTTTTGGAATGATTTTTTGGTCTTTAGCAAATGGTGACTCTGCAGCAAACACTCTTCTCTGGGTACTGGAATACAACCAGCCGGTAAGTGGGAATCCATAGTTTTGCTTATCATTGTTTTGGTCTCTATAGTTAATAGCTTATAAGTCTTCTTTGTTTTTAATATAAAGGGTTTTGGAGCAAACTGGTGCCACCAAAGGTACTCTTGGAATTACTTTTCTTGGAATTACATGTTAATTCACAAACTTTAGTTATTGCTAGTCAATTCAATGGTTGTGTTTGAAATATTACAGAGGAAACAAAGATATTGGCTGGCGATGTCGTGATGAATAAGAGAACAAGAGAAGTTAGCGTTGTGAGCCATGATAAGCTCTTTGTTTTCCCGATTGCTAAAGCCAACGAGGAAGAACTCTTGAAGGACGAGGTGGTAGTTATATGGAGACCTTTCCATCAAGGACAAAATATATGTTTGGTAACAGATAGAAAGAAGCTTGGGATTGTATGTGGTATAGAAATGAAAGTTGATTTGGCATCTCTTGATGGGGATGACGAACATTTTGCTTACCGTTACATAGGAACAGAGTCATTCGAACGGATTAGAAGTTTCTTTAAGGATGACTACGTAGTTCATGGTTCATGGTTAGGTATAGTTGAACATGTGGAATTAAGAATTACAGTCCGCTTTAGAAATGGCAGCAGATTTACTGCTGACGATCCTGATCTTGATATCTTTGAACCCATTTTCAAAAATGCGGCGGAAGCTTATCTTAACGAGCCATATTATGAGGGGCAAAGCGTGGTTAATCATGCAGATGATCCTCCAGTTAAAGGTGTTGTCACTAAGCACAAGGTAAACATGCTGAACGTAAAATGGATTCACTGCAGTAGTGGAGAAGAGGAGGAGAAGCCACCTGTGAGAATTTTTCATCGTAAGGTTAAAAGGATACACGATTCTAGAGTTAGTAGAGCTGCTTGGGCTTTGGGTGAGAGATGCGTTTTTGAACAAGAGGTCTTTGTCATTGTTAGAATCAACAGTATGGTTAAGGTGAAGTGGCAAGGAGGTTTGATCGAACAGATTAGGAGCACCGATCTGATGGAGAGCAAAGAATTCTTCAGTGGACAGTTTGTGTCTAAGAAGGGAGAAATTGGCGTAGGAGGATATGTGAGGATGATTAGTGATGGAGTAGCCTGGGTGAAATGGTTTCAAGAAGGACATCCTGAGCTTTTGCATACTTTTGAGCTAAAACCTCATGGGGTTTATCGGTTTCACATCTCTGATCTTGTAGCTGAGAAATTTGGTTCCCAAGCTCGTGGGTTCATTGTAGGTATGGAGGATGGGAAAGTTGAGGTTGAATGGTTGGATAAGACAATCTCCAAGGTCGGGCCAGAAGAGATTACAAGACTTGCTTATTTGTTTGGTGAGGATCCATCATCTGAGGATGAGGATGAAGAAGATGATGACGTGGAGAGCCCTAGTGATGACACGCATTCTTTACTTCTCGGACCAACAGCTTCCTCTGGTTCTGTTCTTCTTGGACCCGCGTCTTCTTCCGATGAAGATGACATGTGGGGCTGAAGATCTATAGAGAAAAGCTGATTTTTTCCTCTTGAGTTATCTTGTTGCACAGCCACCTTGAGTGATGTGCTTTTTCCACTACTCTCTTTCTTCCTGTTGAGTTATCTTGTTGCACAGCCACCTTGAGTGATGTGCTTGTTCCATTACTTTCGGTTGACTAAATTTGTATTTAGGTCTGCTTTGAGACCTCTTATCAACTTGTTTCCTGCCTCGTCAGTATTTTCCTTGTACTGACGATGGAAAAATGTTAAAACAATATTTTCTCTTATTTTTCCAATAAATTCGTGATATACGCTACCATTTATTCAATCTGGGAATATCATATTGTTTTTTGTTTTGTTTTTGGGCCATGGATTCTTAGTTCAGTTTCTTCTTTGTATAAGAACTGCGTCCGTCATTGAAAATGTTGGTTCCCATTTGGAAGGCATTGTGTGCTGTTATTGGCACAGACCAAAGTGAATTGATTACTGAAGAAGAACACGTATCTGGTTAAGCATCTACATGTGAAACATCTACTATACAAGCAAGCAAACAAGGAATATCTTTCACAAGACAAACACAGAAGCTGCGAGCTCACTGAACTTGTAGATCTGTTGCTTACTGACAGTTTTACTTGATAGATGCTAACACAATATGTTCTGTAACATTTTCCTCAATCCAACTAGCTTTTCATGACAGTCTTTTGGACCATGAATCATTTCTCGAACTGTTGGTATACTGATTGAATGCAAAGAGCACAATGAGTTATATCAGCTTGCAAACTCAAATGTGGTATCAACCTAACGACTATACATTCAAGATTTACAGTGTGATTAAGAGTATAACAAACTGAAAAGGTAGTTATTTATAACCCATACCCATACTTCCAACATCATTCTTTGACCTATACCTATAACTAAATTTGTCTTTCATGGTACTATGTTGTTCAATACCCATAAGGATCTTAAAATGAAAGTAGGAAACCAAACTTTCGATATCAAGAACACTGAAGGAAACATTAGAGTGCACAAGCGCAATCCGGAACACAAACTTTGTTATAGATTACAACACTTTCTTGGGGCTTCCGTTGCAAAAAATAAAGAACCGATTTTAGACAGAGACAAATAATAACATTGACGTATTTCACATAACGTTAGACCAGGCAAAAATATATTTTTGTCTCACTGGTTGGTTGTAAAACAGATCTCGGACAGTAACTGCATAAACCAGATCAACATCACAGGTAAATAATGCCAAAAAATTGATCAGATGCATTTCTCCATCGTAATTGACAACTAGTTCTTGAAAATAGTACTTAAGGCTTAGTTTCACTATAGCCTATAGGATAAGCATGTACGAAAAAGCAATGGTGACAAAAGACACATTACCAGTCGTGCCAGAGTCTTTTCTACAATCGTGAGAATTCCTAGATGTAAACACTTGGATCCCTACAAATCATTGTGTGAAGAAGTTCAAAACCATAACCAATGCGTCATAAATATTAAGTAAGAGTGTTGAGTTCACATACCTTCATAACTTTTCGATAACCGTTAGGCCTCCCAACAGCTTTACTCGTGATCTCCAACAAGTGTCTTCCCCCTTCAGGGATTTCATCTGGCTCTCTGATCCTCTGGAGTTTATGGAAAGCCCGGAATCGGTTTGTGTTTGAAGGATTCTCTTCTTCCCCGGAATATGCTCTGTCGGCTGCAATTGTTTTAGCGAGAGAGTGGAGCAGAGACCAAAAGACAGAGACCTCCCATCATAAAGCCCCTGCAATACGATAGTGGTGAAGACGGATGCGTCGTGGGATACAAATCGACAAGCTGAAGAAACAAGTGGAGTTCGTGCCTTCCCAGCTTATGGCTGAAGCGCTAGCGTTACGGGAAGCAATCTTTACCTGCCAGAGATTGAAGATGAAGATGTTACTGTTTGAGTCGGATTCTTCTCAGCTAATCAAGATAGTTATAACTCGGGTTCGGAGCTTCGTAACTTCATGGCATTATCTCAGAATATTCTAGCTTGTATCTCTGTTTTTGATTTTGTTTGTTCTGTGTGGATCCCTCGTGAGAGGAACAGCATTACAGATTTATTAGCCAAAGATGCTTTGAATGCATCAGGACAGCAAGTGGGGCATCAGGATAGCAAGTGGGTGATGCCTGCTCTTCTTAATTAAATCGCTGTTTCAGGAAAAGTCAAATACATTGTGGGTTTTAGTGTAATGGCCCACAAAAAAGAAAAAAAAAAACATTATTACCCACCCATTCATAAAGAGTGGTCAGTGGGGAAAAACGAATGCACCAAAAACCTAGTAGCCGCGACTAGAGATGAAGAAGTCTACCCGTTCACCTCTGTTCCATGAGCCATCGTTTTCATTCTCATGGCTTCCAGAGGAAATCCTTCTGAATTGTTTAGCCCGCGTCTCGAGATCTCAGTACCGTTCCATCAGCTCACTCTCCAAGACCTTTTACTATGTCCTCTCTTCACCGGCGATTTACGCAGCTCGATCTCAAATCGGAACCACAGAGCCTCGCCTCTATATATGTTGTGAAAGTTTAAGTACGGCCACCACGACGCGTAGTCATGGCTGGTACAATCTCATGAGTCTCAGAAACTGCGACGAGAGAATCGAACAAGGCAGAGATGCCTTTATCAGCGAAGACGGGAGGGAAATTAAAATAAAGAGTGAGTTGATGAGGTTAGTACCTGTTAAAAACTCTTCTTTTCATTTATGTGCTCGATTAAAAGAAGCCAATTTAGCCGTTGGTTCCGAGATCTACCAAATTGGCGGAATCAACAAGAAAGGCAGGCGGTCTAGATCCGTTTGTGTGCTTGATTGTCGGAGCCACACGCAACGTCGTGCTCCTAAGATGAGAGTGGCAAGAGAAAGCGCCAAAGCTTGTGTTTTAGATGGGAATATATATGTAATGGGAGGATGCAGTGAGAACAAAGAGTGTTGGGGTGAAGTTTTCGACTTAAAGACTCAGACATGGGACGAGGAGCTGCCACTTCCTAGCCCTAGTGGTGAAGATGTATTTGATTGTATATTTGAAGTCTTAGTCCTTGGAGCAAAGATATACGTTATCACCGAGCATAACAAGTATGCTTATGATCCTAAAGAAGGAACATGGCTGCTGCTAGACACGGGTTTTGCGGGTCTAAAATCCATACTAGAACTAGGTATTGTTTGGTGCGTTGTAGATAATATAGTGTTTAAGGAGTTTAGCGATGATTTGTTCTGGTATGACTTGAGCTGTGGAAAGTGGTTAGTGGTTGAGGGTTTGGAAGATCTGTTGTGGGATGCTAAGGTTAATTGTCGTTACCGTATGATTCAGTTAGTTAACTATGGTGGGAAACTAGTTATTGTATGGGTAGTGTTGCCTGACGTTATATACAGGAGGAGTAAGCCGCCTGTTATTCCAGAAGAGAGGACTTGGTTTGCTGTGATTAGGTTGGAGAAGCATCTTACTTCTTCTGGACTTGCTATTTCGGGAGAGATTGAACAGTTGAACTATCTGGTTCACGGGTCTTATAATCCCTTGACCTGTCTATCAGTCTCGCTTTGATTTTATCAAAGATCCCTCTCTTTCTTCAAACTAGGATTTTTTACCCCGCGCTTTATCTATAGTTTTATTCAGTTTCACATTTTTTTATTTTTATTATTAAAAAACGAAAAGAAATAAATTTAACTGAGGATGGAGGAAGATATGACTTAAAAAAAAAAAGAAGGATGTGTATCATTTTGAAACATTACCATAGTCATATCCATGAAAAATTTTCATCCCTTGTTTTATTTTCTGATTTTATTCATGTATATTTGGTGATTTTTCATCTTGATTATTGTTTGAGTGGTGGATTTGTTTAGCTTTATTTGAAACCTATCTTTTTAAACTGTGACAATCATCAATATAATAATTTATATTTTGTAACAATCTATAAATCGATTCATATCGTGTCTTTGTCGCCAACGGTGATGAGGTGAGGCAGATCCGAGGTGTTCACGCAAAGTTTAGACATCTATTAGAAAAGGTTTTGATTTTTCTACTCTTATGCGAGGAATATGTTTGAGGGTGGCGGTGAAGTTGAAGAAGGTTTTATGAGCTGAGTTGCTTCTTGCTCCATTATGGTTGTTGGGTTTCATGGTGAGTCAAAGCGTTCAGTTGAGATTTGGAACCTCCGGTGTATTCCGCAGCACCGGTGACGTCTTAGGTAAACTTCATAGAACTGTGTTCAACTTTATTCAAAATTAGTAATACGTACTCAAAATAAATTATGTATGAGAGTTTTAAATTATACTAGATTTTGACCCGCGCTTCAAAAGCGCGGGTTTTTGTTAGATTATAAACAAATTTTGATATGATTTAGTATTTTAGAAATGATGTACATTATTAGGCTACAAATCTTAATATATAAAATAGATTTTTTTGAAAAATTATGTAATTTATAAATTAGTTTATTTGAGATTTTATATGTAAGTTTTTAATGTAACTNGACCCGCGCTTCAAAAGCGCGGGTTTTTGTTAGATTATAAACAAATTTTGATATGATTTAGTATTTTAGAAATGATGTACATTATTAGGCTACAAATCTTAATATATAAAATAGATTTTTTTGAAAAATTATGTAATTTATAAATTAGTTTATTTGAGATTTTATATGTAAGTTTTTAATGTAACTCTCTCTAGGTCTTTACATTTTATCCGGATCGAAAAACACGACCAAACCGACCCGAAAATATAGGTTCGGCTAGGATCCATGATAAAGTACTTACTGGCTATCTTTAAAGACCTGCAGGAATCGATTCTAATATGGATCATAACCGAGACCCGATCGGGTACATAGAAGCACTCAATTTTTTTTTTTATTATATATGTTTGGATATTTCATATATGTTTTTGGTATTATGTATATTCTTTTAAGTTTTAGCTACAGTTTTAGGTTTCGGGTTCTAAAATATATATATATATATATATATATATATATTTTGTTTTGGATTCAAATCAAATTTTTGGGTATATTTTGTTTTTCGAGTCAAATTAGGTAAAATTCAAGATTTTCAGATATTTGAATATATTTTGAGTATTTATTTATGGTTTGAAGTATTTTCAAATATTTTTCGGGTTTATTGGTATTTTGAGTCCTAACTATCCAAGCCTACCCGCTACATATCTGGAAATTAGAAATTACCACACTGGAAATACATAGAAATTAGATTATTCATGAAAATATTGAAATTATAAGTTACAATCTTTCACGAGTCTAGATATCTTTTTAAACAAAATTAATGTTTTAAAATTGTTTCTCTAGAATAGTAAATCATTAATTTTATAACTTGTTTGTATAAATATCCCCCAAACATTAGAATACTATGATAATAAACCGGTTTTTGTATTATTACAATATACTATGTTATAGATAGTTTTACTCTAAAAATAATAATATGTTTGGTTTTAAACATATTTATCGTGAATGGAGATGTTCAATATATTTTATACTCTCTATTTATCAAACATCAGCTATGAAAATTAATCAATGGAAATGATAGAGGGTACTGTTGCACAGTTGGTGGCTCAAGCAAATGATATATTTTTTGTTTAATGTGTGAAATCAGTCACGTATNTCACGTATTATGAAATTATATGGTATAAGGTTATAATAATGTATTGTGGAGAAATAAAAATATTGACCGATAAGAGTAATGTATAATAAATAAGAATATTGACTAATTTATTGTTAGAGAAATATAAGGTAAGTTATATGATATAATGTTATTGTACAATATTGTTAGAGAAATATAAGGAAAGATAAAAAAAATGTTAATATAATGAAAGGGTCCAAACAACTTTTTTAAGTAGATTTATTTAGACTCCTTCTCTTTTAATAGTATAGATTTAATATAATAACTAGATTTTGAACCCGCACATCCGTGCGGGTATTTTTTTCATTTTATATAAATATAACAAAACGTTTCAAATATATATGATTTACGTACATTCTATTGTTATATATTGTATAATTTTATAATCTTATAATTTTAATTATTTTTATATAATATATTGTTGTAAGTTTTAAAATAAAAAAAAATATTCACATATAATTTTTTATATAATGTATTTGTTGTGAGTTACAAAAATATATGTTAACATTTTTGTATAAAAATATTTTATGATTTAAAAACTTTAATATATTTTAAAAGTGAGGGATATTTATTTATTTATTTGAATAAAAGAAATTTTTTAAAATAAAATATTTTTCTTTATTAATTTAATATATTTTATATTCATTTCACATAGCATTTTATTTTAATATAAAGTAGAATATAACAAAATTATGAAATATACTTATATATATATATATATTAATCAGGAAATTAAATAATGCATATTTTATAAAATATTTAAACTTCTTAGTAAGATCTTGTTAGATATTTTCTCAACAAATTTATTACTAATATCTTATTATTATTAAAATATTGCTCCAATTATATATATTTGATTGATTAATATAAATACTTAAATATCTCATATTAATGAGATAGTCCAATATAACTTTTTGTAGTAGATATAAATGGTACTTCTCTTTTAATAGAGAAGATATGTCTCCTATACATACATGTAAACCATATAGTATGTTTGTATTTTTCAACAAGAACTAACATAACGAAACTATTTTATAACTTCTTTTTGTGTTTAATATATCCACACAATAAATCATTTAGCAACTAAATATGTGATAATTTAGTTATTAAGATATTGCCGAATTTGTTATTAACCAAAAAGGATTTTTTCCTAACCAGCTTTGATTTATTTAATTATTCAGTCATGAATTTTAACCAATGCTTGAAAAATTAAAAAAATAATTAATTTCTTCAATATTAAAATATTAAATATAAAATTTTCAGAAATATTAAAATAAGACGTGTTAAATAGATATCATTTTTAATTTTCATATAGTTATATTTACATACAGTTTTTTGATTACAGAAAGATCTATATGATGAACATATTTAAGTTTGTATAATACAGATATTTTAAATTAACATAAGATTGATTGCATGTTATAAATATATTTTATTTTAAAATTAGGATCTGCAATATATTAGGATAAAAATATTACATAGTTATAGATATTTGGGGCAATTATCTCAAATATTTTTTTTTAAGTTTTTATCATAAAAATAGATGTTTACTGTTTGTATTGAAAATTCATTATTCATAGAATTGGAACGTTTAAGATATTTAACATTTAAAATTAATATTTCAATTCCTACTTACAAATTTAAGACTGAAGAAAAATTTTCATCATCTATAACAAATTAGAAAAAAAATTTAATCGATTATTTACTATATATAATTTTAAAATGTTTTTTAAAAATTTCCATAGGATTAGAATCTCTTGAAAACTAAAAAATAATATCATCTAAAAGAGTTAAAATAAATCATATCAAAAGTTTAATACTAAATTATATCGAAAAATAGAAACACCCAAAATTTTATTATTTTGTCGATAAAATAATTCCACGCTTTTGAAAACGCGGATCAAAATCTAGTAAAATATTAAACAATCAATCTTTTCTCTATTATAGAACTATCTTTTTGGGCGCATTAGCTGACATTTTTAGGCTGAAAACATGGTGTTTGGTTGTGAATTTGAAAGCCTTATATATCTAAGAAATGAATTGTTTTGTTTTCTACAAGTCGACTCAAACATGTATGTTATATTATATTCCTAGTTTGTGTATTTCATTTATGTTGTGATTTCATATACACTTAATGGAAGTTAAAAAATTGTTTAAATTTTAGACAAAAACACCTCGAAAATGAGATTTGATGCATGTTTTGAGGAGAGTTAGATTATTTCAGTGTCAAACTCAACGACTGAAGTACAAACATTACCGTCGTTGACGTCAAGTTAAACTATCGTACCTATAGTCACTGGTGTTCAATAGGGAATATAGGTAGACTGAGTTTAAGGTAAAAGTTAAAGTAAATGGGACATTAAGTTTCAAAAAAAGTAAGAGAGACAGTTATAGCTATAATTAAAACCAGGAATATCATTATTAGCGTACACATCTTCCTCTTCTCACTTGTATATAGTGAAATTCGGAATTGATACTAAACAATTCATAGAGATAAAATAATTCTATTTCTTTACCATAAAAGGTATGATATGGATTGATTGATTAAGTTTCATTGACCTAAGACGTTTTCAAGTTGGATTGTGGAAACACATTAAGAAGAAAGACAACATTTTAGAAGCAAAAATTATATTTTAATCAAAAGGTTTCCGATTATATATCTAACTGAAGTCATGGTAGGAATAAAGGAATCTAAGAAATGTTACCTCACAACATAAATACAATTTGGATAAATTTGTTGTAGCTTTAACCTTTAAATTTTTTTCAAATCTGTGGCTATAAACATTGATATTTAGTTGTTTGGAAAATGAAAATAAAGAGAATAAAAAACAATAGAATGATGAAGGAGGATTTGCGGGAATTGGGATTATCGTCGCTAGAAGATCATAATTTATAAAGTTAATATAAGCATTTCCAAAACACCTCTGA